CTAATTGAGGATAGCAGATGAACAGAAAGCACTGAAGAAAAGGGGGGGGGGGTGCTGACTGGGTTTGGGGGAAGGGAGATTGCCCCTACCACCCCCACCCCCCCTGGATTCGCCACTGGTGCAACCACATCCCGCACCTGGACTATACCAATAATCACGACGAATAAGTGTGCTACAAAAAAAGTAACGAACTTCAAAAGCTTTGCATAAACTTGGCAGAAGTAACTGCTTCTGCAACACCCTATGTGAATGCGAAAGTTACTGAGGCACGCAAGTTTTTTTTTTTTTCTGCAGACAAGTTTGTTGGGATGCCTTCTCTTGCAATGAAAATTGCCATAACCAGGCATGATGGTATTCTTACCTAGACTTTCTCTTGACCGAACTGACAGTTGCTGGTGAACCTCTTCCCACTTTCACGGGAAGTGAGTGTCGTACACTTTCACTATCTCACCTTGGCAGAGAGAGCAGTTGTCGTCAAGAGGTTCCTCATGACATTGGCAGTGGGAAGCAATGAATGAAGAACCAGAACACACACATGCGACAGTATGACTTTGGAAATGTTGCAATAACTGGTGTATTCATACATGCGTCTAAGGAGAGCACGAGTTGCACATAGGTCCATCATTTTCTTCCAGAGACATGTGGTATGCATATTCCATTCACATGCAGGAGACTGACATGCACTCAACCTCATTATAACAAAATTGCATACTGTATGAAAATGAGCTTGTTATATCCAAAAAAATTGTTCTAAAGTTTCTGGTTTCAACACTATATTCATCGAAAGACTATAGTTCATTAACTTTATTATAACCAATATTTTGTGATAACTGGGTTACCTATAATGAGGTTTGAGCATGTGGGGTATCTACCTGATGGACAGGTATGTTAGGCCCTTGACCACTAAGCTACTCCTGATAACTAGGAAATCGCAACAGCGAAGTTGGGTCTTATCAATAAAGCAGGCATCTCTGTGGAACAGTATAACCTTTAACACGATTTTGAATCACGCAATAATACTTGAGCAGTGCAACTCTGTTCTCTTTGGGAGCACATACAGGCTCGTCAAAAAGGGATACTGGCTGACGATGATGTAGCTGTGGTCTGCTTTTTGCAATGAGGAAACATGTACTTTTTCCTGGACAAAAGAAAAAAAGCACAAACACAAATGGGGGAAAAAATATCAGCTGTAGCACAAAGGCGCCATCTCTTGTCTCCAAGGCAATACGTGGCATGAAGAAGGCAACATTCTATTGCAAAGAAACCTCTAAAAACCGAGCCACAGTAAATGACACAAGCTTGTCATTTCCTTCGATCGGTGCCACTCCAGGCAGTATATGGCAGTGGGAATGTTCCCCTAGCTCATGCCCCGACACCTTGAGATGTCACGTCAGTGTGACACTGCACCCGACAACCAAGAAGTGCGTGCTACTTGTGCAATCCATACATGCGCCACAGCCATGCATGCCTCCATCTGGAACAATAACAGCATCAATGGCAAAGACTTCACCACATATTGCAGCTTCAGTGATCACTTACGTCAATTAGGAAATAAAATGTTCGAACTTATTGTGCTCAACTGCTGGTCTAATCATTGGTAGCAAGAATTACACTATTTCTATTAATGAAATTCGAGATTCCTTAGCTTGCTCTGAAGAAATCTGCTAACGTTAATCTGCCAAGACCCTCCTTCACTAACAATAGTGCGAAAAGGTACATCCGGTTTGTGTGTCTTGGCCGAGAAAAAAACGTTCAGGTTGCTCCATTTGCTGTTCTTTATGTTCTTAGCTATCATTTATGTTCTTAGCTTGCTCAAAGCAAGCTAAAGAATCTCGTGGTGAATGACCCTTTCCGTACGAAGGGCTCAAGTGATGTGTGCGACTTTTTGCGGTCTCGCGTTACCACAGGCAACGCCTTTTCAGTGGATGTTGTAGATCTGTATTATTCCGTGCCGCATGACAAGCTTCTAGCCTCTGTAAAATCCTGCATAGAAGAGAATGGTGACGTCGATTTTATCAATGACGCGGGCGTTAATGTAGGCAATTTTTTATCGCTTTTAGAATTTCATCTGAATGCAACTTTTATTATGTTTGACGAAAAGCCCTTTCTTCAGTGGCAAGGAATCTGCATCGGTTCCTGTGCCGCCCCGGTCCTTTGCGATATTTTTTTAGCGGATGTAGATAGGGATTTGTACAACGCTTTTAAAGGGGGGAAGGTTTTAAAGGTTTTTAGGTACGTTGACGATTTTTTAATTCTTTTAGATAAACAGGGTGACCTTACATCCCCTGATTTTATTTTAAACGTTTTTATAAGACTAGGACGAGGGCTTTCCTTTACTGTCGAATTGCCTCAAGAAGCTTGTCTGCAGTTTTTAGACTTACGCCTCACGTGGAACAATGAGCATATTTGCTGGTCTTATCATCCTCGTGTTGAGAAGCAGCTGTTGCCGTACGATTCTGCCCACTCAAAGATTGTGAAGAGGGGCGTTGCGTCTCTTTGCTTAGAATCAGCGCTAAAAAGGTCGTGCCCACACAGCATGAAACTTAGTTTCCTTAATCAGGTGAGCCGACTAGAGGCTGCTGGTTTCCCTCGATCGGTCATTACGGCCAATGCTGAATCACTTCTGCAGAAGTTTAAACGTGGAACACGGGAAGCGATGACTGCTACCCAGCCCTTAAGGATTAGGCCACAAGTTGTGCCATATATCCATAAGGTCTCGCACAACCTTAAGAAAGTCGCGGCCAGGCACGGCATACCGATGATGTTTTCCGCACCAGAAAAAATTGGAAGACTGTGCCAAAGTGTGTGCAATAGAAAGAAGCGCGGCTGTCAGAAGAAACATGAGAGGGCCTTTGTTAAGTGTTCCATGGGGGTTGTGTACTCCATACTCTTATCCTGCGGAAAAGTGAACATTGGCCAAACCGAACGGTGTATTAATGACCGATTAAGGGAACACGCCCAAAAATTAACGAAAAGAGATGACAAGTATGCGCACCTGGTTGCGCATGTCATCTCGTGTGGTTGTGACGCACGATTTTCCGAGAGGAAGATTCTGGGTAGAAGCGCAAGTGAAACTGCACGTGAAGTGTTAGAAGCCTTTTTCATTGAAAAAAATAAAGATCACTGTGTAAGCGCCCCTTCAATTTAGTTGTTACCAAGCGAACTTCAGTTTATCGCTCTAAGGCTATGACCTTGATTAACTGCACGTTTTGATAATATATGCTGTTGGCCTTCTTTGGTGTGTGTGCGCACAATGTGTCCTGTATATATTCAAGCCTTTGAGCTATGAATAAATCAGTTGGAAGTGAGCGCTGTGTGTTTGATGCATGGGTGTGTGCGTGTGTGAGTGATCGTGCCAATTTTTCGCGCTCTAATTAACTTTTCGAAATGACCTACCAACTAGCCCAACAACCAGTTCTCTTAGAATAGCTATAGAGCACACACACACAGAAAAGTAAAAGGTACACGCAGAAACAGAAGTCCCACAGTTCACTTGCGAGTCAGCACCTGTTGTGTGAATTGTTTCTTCGCCTATCAGTCTGTTCGTTTTTGTTGTGTGATCTTGCATCGAAATACGGTCGTAAAGTCTGCGTTCATTGGTTTACGATGAAGGAAAAAAAGACGTAGTCATGCTGTTCAAACAATATCTTTGCTGCATCAAAACAAAAGAAGGTGTATCAGTGTTGGATTCACCTGGTATTTCAGTTAACTACTTCTGCATTCAGGCAAAATGCTACACAACACTGTCAAATGCTGCTGAAATACTAGTTGCAGTAACACACATGCAGGCACTCCACTCCTGTAGCTTCTTCTCTTTTGTCACAGAAAGCTGCTGGTGGCACAAGCTATGCCAGTTGAGCATATCCAAGACGTTTAGCTATAGGAATGGGCAGAGCACTTTGCCAATGTGTCCAAAAAGGATCATCGAGGTGCTGGTACACAGGCACTCCAGGGTGATGCTGTGGGCTTGTCATTGTTGTTTCAGGTTTGCAGTGTTCTTACAGGTTGCATTGTTTTGTGGGTCTGTTGTTTATAGGACTTTGAATTTGGTGTTAGTATTTGGCTTTTTTTCTGGGTACCTTAAGTTTATGTATCTTTCACTCAAGCCAAAGGCAGTGGTACGTTGATCAGGTCGGCAGTAAAAAAAAATGCCAGGCCTGCGTGGAAGGCGCAGCACAGTTGCAGCAAATGCTAGAAAGGCGGCCTTTCAGAGCCTTTTCTAAACACTTATTGAGTAACTGCTGCGAGCCCACTTGCAGGGCACCCACTACAGCACTATTAATAATACTTTCTGGCTAGTAGGCTGGCATTCACTAAGCTATCCTTCGTAATTTCTGAGAATCGTGGTATCTGCTAAACAGTTGCAAGGAATTTTGTGCCAATCGTTCATGCAGTGGCTGATGACGATAAGGAATTATGCCTGAAGTGGGTACGCGCCCCTGTTAATAGGTGATTAAGTAAAGGGGTTGGAGCATTGGACAACCTAATCATTGCGCTATTCACATTGTGTGACGCCTGGTTGTCCTTTTGCTGTTCTAAAACGCTTTATTACTCATATTAATGAATTTTCTTTCCCAACATGAAGCCTGCACAAGGCAAGCTTGCAAACAAGTCCCAAGCACCAGCGTGGCTCAGTGGTAAAATACTGGGCCGGCACACAGTGGGCCCGGGTTCGAGCCTCACTGTTTCCTTGGTACTAGGTTTATTTTTTTCTCATTTTGTGCGAAGTAGATACGGGCACCATTGGCGACAGCGGACAATTACCACATCGTAAACCAATGAACGCAGACTTTACGACCGTATTTCGATGCAAGATCACACAACAAAAACGAACAGACTGATAGGCGAAGAAACAATTCACGCAACAGGTGCTGACTCGCAAGTGAACTGTGGGACTTCTGTTTCTGTGTGTACCTGAGTTATGATCTCATAACAACTTTTGCTGTAAAAAAAATACTAATTAAATGTGGAGACATTGAGTAGTGCAAAACGAGCAGCACTGAATTCCTTCATAAGGCTTTATTTAAAAAAAAAATCCAGACAGACAAAAAAAATGCTCTAAAACAACAGCAGTTCATTCGTCTAACACACATTTTGTGCTTAGCCTTTAATTAGGTAACACAGAGGTGTGCGTCAGTTCAATCGCACCTAAACCCATACCACGCAATTCACAGTCACGCATGACATATACTTTTCTTTGTGCTTCCAGATGAATTACGGTCTCTTACAACATTTGTTATAGATTTGTATATATATAAGCAACAAGCCACAAAACACACAGACACATGGATATAAAACCCTTTTGCCACTGCAGCTCACACTACCTTTTTTTTTGTCGAATGCTAATCTCAATAGTACAACGATAAAAGTCGCAGTGGCACGTCGCCACGGCTTGTTTGTCAAACTGGAAGCCACAAACTCGCATTTTGTCATATGTATATACATATTTTGTATGTATATATTTATATATATATATATAGTATGGTATAATCGAATGTGAAACGATCAGAGTCTCAAAGGTATGAGAGAAGTGCCTTCAGCGTCGCACATCGTGCGTAGGGCTGCAGTCAGCAGTCTCTCAACTGTGTGCACAAGAATGCAATAAATAATCGACAACCTACGAATAAAAACAAAACGATGCTCAGAAAGAAAATACACCGCATCACATTAGAGCGCTCCTAAGAAACCCCGGGAAGACTGGGAACAAAAAATGCTTCAAAGACAATGGTGACGACCAACTGATTGACTGAAAGACCACAAAGCTGCCACACAACAGACACCTCCAATGCGAACTGCAAACAGACCGCCAGCCCTGTTAGGCGGAGTGCAAGAACCGTACCGAATGTAGTCGACGCCAGTGCTTTCATATGGACTAGCGATGAATACGGGTGCAGGTGAGGACAGCGATGGTGCCCCTCGTACCGCTTTCTGAAGTCCTGTAGCAGCAGAAACAAAGAAGAGGCCTGCGTGTTCAACTGAAATCAGACACTCTGGGTGTGCACATCTACAAAATGTGTGATGTCAATGGTGTGGTTAAAGTGCATGTTCCAATGCTGTACCCTTGCGAAGGGCATTGTTCCAGCATTGCGGTTCATTCATATGGAGGCTGCGGGTCGTCAGCATGAAGTTGCTCACTTTCAACAGCCGCTAAGACTCTCCCCCCCGCTGGAGAATCGCTTATCTGGAGCTTGAAAATTACCTCTGCACCATGCTCCCATCTGTCAGCGGTCAAAGCCGACAAGTGGTGAAACACCCCCAGCATCTCGAGCAAAGCAACGAAACAAAATAATTCTTGCCTTACAGCAGGCAGGTCTGAGCTACGCCTTGTGCCAAGTTAACTCTGTCGTTGGAGGACTGTGTCAACGATGAAGATGAGTTTTAAAGGGCTACCTGTGATATCAGAATGGGCATTTAACAATAAAAGCTTGTGCGCTATGGTTTCGTGATGCAATGAAGTGTGCTCAGATGTAGACCTACAGCTGTGTCCAGACCTTTAGGTAATCTAAATCACGCGCAGGGCTCGAAAGACACATAGTGCATTTCATAACACCATCACAAAGCTAGCATGAAGAAAGTGAGTGACTCAAAACTTGGGCAGACTTCTAAAGTTTTGGTTCGAACTGCAGCAAAGCATTGGGTCAGGCTGTAACGACAGGTAGGTTGCGATAAACTTTATGCTTGCCAAGCGACGACATACCTCTGTAACATGGACACTTTTGTCTGCCGCTGATTTGAGCAGCAGCTAACACTTAAGCTGCAGTTCAACAGATCAGTAATTTACTTGCAGTTACAATGCGCTTGCAGAGCTCAGCTAAGTTCAGCAATGTGGACATGTGACATAGAAGCACCTGTAAAGAACCAAGAGTAGTTCCTATGTTATTTTCCTGAGAGCAACTAATGTTAAATTAAGCATTTTATAGCAAGAGTTGCTAGTACGATTTTAAATGCTTGTTTGTAATCTCACAGCTGGTTACTGGCCAAGGCAATGTGGAGTCTGCCCTCTGGTGTTCTTTTTACATTAGCATGGTCTCACCTTAAATCATCATAATTATCATCAGCCTGACTGCACCCACAACAAGACAAAGGCCGCTCCCATGTTTTTCCAATCAACACGACACCCCATGCTTTCTGCCGTTACGTTAACCTCGCAAGCTTCTTAATCTCATCTGTCCACCCAGCTTTCCGCCTCCCCATCGCACGTTTGCCTTCTTTTGGAATGCAGGCTCCTAATGACCAGCGGTTATCTTGCCAACGTGCTACATGGCAGATATCAACTGAGGCATGTACACTTGGGTGACTTATGCAAGCCACTATCTTATCAGGTGGTGTGTCTCGACTGGGTTCGCTCAAGTAAGTTTGTTCAACGGCAGTTGAAAGTGCGTGTGTGACAGAGGTGTAAGTGTTAAGACAATGAGAAAGCTAATCAAATGACCAGCTTTTTGAAAACGGCACAATGCACCCGAAGAAAGAAGGGGCAAGGGTACAGCGTACAGTTGTCCTATTCTTTGCTGGCAATCCTGCAGGTCAAGCGAGGCACCAAATCCCATAGCAAGCCTCAACAATAGCGATGTCACTTTCAGAATTCCAAATGCTGTCACCAAAGCAAGCCTTCCTATCAGTAATAAGCAATAAACAAAATGGGTTTCTTTTTACATTTGAATCCAATGTGATTATAGATGCTGATTGCAGAGGTTAACTGCTCTTGACCTATATATTTCATATTCCTTGGCAATTGCAAATCGCACTTTTTGCAGTGGTGGTGCATAAACAGTAGTCAGGTTATGTCATTTCGATACTCAAAAAACGTAGTTTTTGTATCATAAAAGTGACACCCTGAAGATTTTTATGAGCTTGACTGAATGTTTTTGTCTGAAATGTAGTAACGAACGTGTAGGAACGTGAAATGTAGTAACGAACGTGTAGGAATGAAACACAAGCTTGAAAATAGATCTACAATAAACTGCACGAATGTTAAACGCGATATAAACATTATGGCTATTTTCCTCACTGTTCATTGTCGGCGAAAAAATGCAGAAATGTGCGTGTGTAGCAAATGTTCATGGCTAGGTCGCTGTTACGCTTAGAACATGTACAAAAATGTAGACAGGTCAGGACACAGTAAACTCTTGTCATAACAAAGCCAGTGGAAAAGGAGATGAATGTTACTATGAGCGGAACTACTATTATTGGCCATAAACGAGGCACTCTGACAAAGGAGGTGGAATAGCAAAACGTTCAGTGAAGCAAAACACATCTCAACACTGGCAACACAATGACAAAAGCCAGCTAATGATAATAATTAGGTGCATGGTCTATTTGCGAAGTTCCCAGTTCTTCTAGTTCAATATGAAAAAAAAAAAAAGCAAGGGGTTGATATTTTAGCAACACCGAGCAGTCTTGCACAAACTTTCGGGTTCTTCTGCACTTCATACTAAGTGACGCAAACAGTAATCTGGTTTAAAAAGTAAGCACAGATGGTCGTCAGAACCACAAAAAAACTTTAAATTACATGATTCTGTTATGACAAGAGTACTGCACTGTCTGAACTACGAATGCTATTGGTTTTGGTCTTTGTGGTCTCTCGTGCACTACTATAGTATTCAACGTGCGTGATAAGGCGCAGGCACAGTGTGCGAAAGAACCTGTCCCCAACACCGGTACTACAGTTCTAGACAACAATCACAGTCGCTGATATGCTGCACTGCCTTGCCACAACAAAGTTATGGTCATAAAGGACAAATGGAACACCGAGAACAACTATGTTTGCAAACGGGAAAGCTGCAGCGAAATCACTCAAACAGATGCAACTGAAAAGCTGATGACGGGTCGATTAGGGAGCAACTGCAGACCATACCCGAAAGTGTGCAAAACCTGTTGTTACTACTGCTCCATCAAAATGCTTGACACTAACAAGATAAGGCATTAGTGCGCAGATTTAAAAGGTGTGCTAAAATGAGAACAGGCTTTCTTTCTCAACACCTGAAATGCTAACCTATCCACTCGAATGCAGTGGCCACAACAGCCACCTCGTAATTAAGTACGATGAGGTATTGTTGCGCTACTTTTCACTTATTACCACAGGGGCTCTGAATGGGGAGGTTACAGGGATCGAGCCCGTCGCTTCGTCAGCTTACATAGCGTCTACTTCACTCTGAAGCACAAGTGCAGTCTCGGCTTCTTGATTGCCAATTGCTGGCAAGCTCAACGGCAAGCGCAGTACATTTGGCTATCGCATCTGCTTTGGGCACTCTGAGCACATTTGATCCTGGCAGTGGAGCTAGATGGTGCAGCTGATAAAATGTGCAATCAATGCTTGAACTATCCTGCCTGAACGGAGCTGTGCTACACTGTAATGGAACATAAAGATGCGGTAGTACACAATGCAAATGAGACAGCGCATTGCCACTGTGCATCTAGATGAATTGCACGAGGGCGCTCGCACATTTTGATATCTCCACAACAGCAGCAAAATGCAAGTGAGATGAGTGCATGCGACCAATGACGATGATTCCATAAATAAATTGCTGCGCACGAAAGGAGTCGCATGGTGCATCCGTGTCAGGCGAAAAGCTTAAATGGAAAATAAGTGGAAGGACCAGCTGCCCACGGAGCGAGATGCTTGCTCGTGAACAGTCGATGGCACGTGTTATGCACCTGCCAATTCACGCTTTAGTCTTCTGCGATAGCTTTTAGCAATTCGTCAACAACGCAACTGGAGACAAAAAGACAAGATGTACGAAATGCTGTCGCAGCACTTGAAAATGTCAGATTCTTCTACGAGTGTAACCAAACGCCTCACTAGTTGAATGCAGCTTGATAGTTGACTCTGCATTACAGACTTGGACAACGTATCAAAGTCGAGACAAATTCAGTTTTTTGCTGCTGTTGCCAACTACAACAAGCCCATTCATCTAATATGACTTAACGCGTGTCAATACAATTTTGTAGCGTGAGATCAGTTGTAGCATTTGCAAGTTGTGTTTTTTGACAAACACCTCCTCTAAATTGTGCATACACCATTTGGCAGGCAGAAAAGGTCAACGTACTGGAGGACGCTGCCGTTGTCTCTGCCTAATACTTGGTGTTGAAAATCACACATTTTTCTTGCACTTATTCCACGAGAAGGCAAGCAGGACGCTGTCTATTTCAGAACTGTTAAGCACAGCATCACAGAGGCCCTACGCGGCGACCAGCAGAGGCAAATTTTTAATAACATTTGTGCAATGGATAGAGTTAATCTGTCTGGATGAGAGCGATTGTTGGGGTATCTGCTAGGTTTCTGTTCGTCGCTTCCTTGTATATATTTTCGACATGCTACAGCTGTTGGCAGATAGCAACAATTAAAAATAAGTAACTTGCAAGGCAATGAACCGAAGAAACATAATGGGGCCATAATCTCACAACAGCGACGGGATCACTATGACATGCACACACATGCCTTTCGAATTCGGTGACTACTTAGGACGATTGGAGGAGTGATGAAAGAGGTGAACGAGCACACGCTGTCCCCAAAACAAATGATATCATACTCGCAGTGCAATACGATAGAACAAAAGTATAGAGTAAGTGAATGGCTGCCAAATAATAAAGACGCAAAGCTTACCCGTGAACAGGGAACACTTGGATGAGGAGCCACAAAAGGTATGCAGCTGTGCTTGAGCATTCAAGCGGCTCGTCAATTTACTACATCAACTTTAGCCAAGCTTGGGACAGTGGCTCCAGTCACTTGCTGATGGAAGATGTTACAGGTCTAAATCTCTCACATGTCACAAAGCCTGAGCAAAAATAAAAAGTTATTTAAATGCACTGAGCTTCCATGCATGATGATGCACATGCATATGCAACGACAGTGGGATAAACTAAATAAGAAAGCGTGGAATGAAATAGGAGACATGCATTAAAATCCAGCTCCTAGGGAACACATACACGAATGGAAGAAGCCAGTGATAAAAAAATGAAGACAGCGAACAACAACTAGACGGGGCTCTATGCCACCTCCATTTTGATGCAAGAGCTTTTGGGCACCTATTCCAACGTTAAGTGTCTGTGTGCCTCTTCCCTTGTTTTCCTTTGTTGTAAACAAGCGAACGAGCACACGGTAAAACGAGAGGGTGAAGAAGAATGCCTCCTGCACGCATTAACCAATCGTAGCATAGAATGTAGTCATGCGACGTGGCATTTTGGTTTCTTCCAATGGCACCAGATTGCCCTGCCATGTGCACATCTCGACAGAACCTTCTCTCTGTGAAGCCGGCATGCGCATTGAAATCTTTCAACGAAAAGACGTACTAGTACTGGTGATGACATATGCACATCGTGTCTACCTTTCGCACTTCGCTGTCACATAGTTTTCAAGATGGACAAAGTAACATTCAAATCTTACACAGCAATCCCTGCTGTTGTGTTACGTGAGTAGTGCACGACAACCCAGAAAACATACCTAGAGCTGCGCTGAAACTTCACATGAGGGAGTATCATAATTATCTGCAATTTTCTTAGTAACTATTTTCTTTTATCCGCTATAAGGAACCAGTGTTGGAGTTTCTGCAGTAGCCCTGGCGGTCAAAGGGCGTATATTTCAGCTTCTCCTACTGACGCAATCCATTTTGCAGCACTTTTCTCAGTTTTTCAGCGCCCTCCTGTGAATGTAGCCTCAAGCTACAGTCATATGAAGTGACAAAATAAACAACACTGTAGTATTATGGGTGCAAAGGCTGCTCGAGCTATTTATGTCAAAATCAAGCGCGAGAATGGCGCACTTGCGAGCACGCTTACAGCGGTACGTACGCTGCAGCAGGTCGTCTGCGTGAGCGGCTGAGTTATGTCGCGACCCCCGGATAAGGGCCCCTTTTCAGCGTGCAACCTATCTAACACTGGTCTCCTTTTATGAAATGATTTGCCCAGCAAGCAACATTGCTGAACATCCCTGTAGTGCCAGAAACACATCACGTAGGCTACACATTGAGAAACTGCAGATGCTGGAAGCGATTCCGAAGCCGAAAACACGACGATGCCACTTATTTTTGCTCACCACCCATGGGCAAGAAGCAGAAGTGCTGTGAACTGCACACATTCCTATGATTTTGGCATGGTTATTTGCTGCCACCTCGGACTTCTTGTCAACAACAAGCCGAAGCTCTTAGTGTTTAGGGGATGTAGGAGCGTCTTCTGACCTTGAAACGGCTCATAATCCTCCACGATTACGTTTGCGAAATCTTTCTATCACACCCGTGTCCATTAGTTAGGGACTCTAGAAGGATGACAAAATGAGAATTTTGCAAATTACACATACAAGCAGAATGAAGATGACAATCGAACATGAGAGAACAAAGGACAGTCACTCGCTAAATTATTCCTGTCTGTGAGTGTCCTTCCTACGATATGCATTCCTTCCGACTCGTTCGATGCTCTATCGTTCAAGAATTCGTTGCCTTTTTTTTTTCTTGCTCTTCTACAGACGCTAACTTCTACCACATGAGGCTGACAATGGATGATGCTGAATGGACAGAAAGAAAACAGATCCACGCATGACAGGCACAATATCCAGGACAATCTCTTGCCTAGGTAGTACTCCGGTCTCGCCTCTTCCAACTACCTCTCAGCCGACAACGCAAACATCCACCGAAAAAAGCAACAGCACGGCTCAGGATGCGTCACTGCGTGGAGAGAGCTGCTGCCGCGCTCCGTTCTTCCACACACGGCTCATTACGAGTAGCGTGGCAGCCAATTGCAGGTGGTTGCAGAGTCCGACCCGATCCTACTCCTCGTTGAAGAGATGACAAATGCACACACTCCCTCCTTGCAACAGATTGGCCGTAATAGCGTGGTGTCCAGTCGTGGCCAACATTCATTGTCTTTGGGGAAGTTGAGGACGATGACGATGAGAGGCGGGTTGCATGAGGTGCTGAAGCGATGAGGTCGACGCATTCTCCCGAGCACTGTGTCGCGCATGGCGGCAGTCAACGTCCTACATGCACACACGCAACACACGCGTGCACACATAAACGAGAACAGTGGCGGCAGACGAAGACAAAGAAACGGCCATGCGCAATGCCTGTCAGACGTCTAGGTGCTTGGAAGGCGGGATACTGATGAATGGCTCGCTCCACATTCGCCTCAAGTCACCCTGCAGGAAAGACCAAGGTTGCAAAGCGCATGTTAAAATTGAGCTCTCGCAAGCATCTTGTCATGCTCTGGTCAATGCGTATTTTTTTAACAGACGATCTGATCGGGCAAGTTGGTGATGGCACAGCAACGTCAACCCACCATTGAAGGTACCTCGGGCAACACTTTACGAAGAGTGGATACAAAAGAGACAAGCACTTGTGGTTTACTTCTCTGTATCTGTCCTTCGCAAAGTGCTACGCAATCTACAATGATGGATCATATTTTTATTATTGCTGAAACTCTGCTACCCATTTCTTTTACATGAAAGAATGCTAGAAACTTGCATGTGACAGTAGTATTTACATTTAATGAAAGCAAACTTTATAAAACTTAAGACATCTGAAGTTGATATCAGAGTTAGTCTGAAGATGTGAACCTGGCACTGACGTTGCTGCGCCGTTATGAGAAATGAAGACTTGCTGATGCCATGGGCCAGTATAGCTAGCTCCAATGACATCCCTCACGTGACAAAAACATTAACGAGAGCATTGCTCATGCTTTTCCTTCACGGTTCAAAATGGCATCGGTGGTTGCCCTATCGTTTTGTGTTAGTCTGCAATTTACCTTTGCCTGCCACATGCAGAATTGTATCGAGCCTTGACCACCACGCTTCCCATATGCACACACGAACACGTAAAAGCAAGTGGACGGAGCACATCCCTCGGCCCTCACCTTGAGGTAGGCCATGGTCAGAAGTGGGAGTAACGTGAAAGGAACCAGGTAGAGCAGCGCAGGCTGGGCAGCCTTGAACACCTCCGAGGACACCGTGGCCGTCAGGAGGCCTGCCAGTTACAACAACAACAGATTTGAAAACTCTTGTTTTAAAGTGAGGAAAGTACAACACGCAGACAGCATTGAATTCCAGACATACTATTACATCCGCAAAAAAACATCAAACATATTATATTATTACAGTAGACTCTCAGTAAATGGAAATTTGTTGAGCGAAACTGCTGTTTAAATGGAACGAATGCTTACGATAGGATTGGTTTCATTCTTGCATTGTGTGCCCATGTTCATTTCTCAGTAAATGGAACTCCTATTAAATGGAACACATTTTACTGGTCCCTTCAGCTTCCCTTTAATGAGAGTCTGCTGTACATGCTTTCTTTTGATCGTGACCGTGCCTCCCTTGCTAAAGCAGTGTCATTTCATACAGGTCAAGCCAGATTGTGCGGGAACGTTCACAGCTGTTATAGAATGTTCTGATAAAATTCGTACACAATATGCGTAGCCGAGTTTATTCTGGAACTAATGAGATAACTAGCGATAACGCTGCAATGCTCCATCATGCATGTATAAAAGCCGAAGTACTTCGCCGTCAATCAGATCTTTGAACGATTGACGACTGTATTTGCTATTATACAACTTGTATTACGAGTGCTACTCACTTCTACAGTGACCCTTACCTCATTTCCTGGGCACGAGTTTACGCAATAAAGCATGTCAACATTAAAGGCTTGACTGCCGCCTTCTTCGCCATCAAAAATATGTGGCGATATACAAGGGCCCATTAGGGGCCTCAATCCTGTAGAGCTGAGGTGTTTTTTTTCAGTTGTGCCATATCCCAAATGCTACTGCTTTTGTGACAGTTTATGAGGTTATAACTGGGTACTCTATGCTCTATGTGTGAGAGCATGGCCTAGATGCATGCCACCGTGACTGGTTGATGAGTGGTTGCTTGTTCAAGCGACCAACTTTGAAGCTCCATAATGTGCGCCTAACGACAGCTATTTCGTGCACATGCTTTCTTCAGAATGCAGCCACCGCGGCTCAGTGGGGACTGAACTCACAAACTCGTGCTCAATGCCTGGTTCAGGAATATCAGCTTAGCTCACTGAGCGCACACTGACCAAGGAAGTAGCCAATGAGGGAGCAGTGAAAGTAGGAGATCTTGTTGAGGTGGTTGGGCGGCGGCAGGCCTGTCTCGGCCGAGCTCAGCTGGGCCTTCTTGTAGGCGTCGTAGCGCAGCACGAAGCACAGAAGTAGGCCTGGCATCACCTGCACGATGCAAACACGGAGGTGGCTAATGAGTGTCTCAGCCTGGCATGTTTCATTTGGAGAAAAAACATGCTCTAAAAAAAGAGTATTACTTGAAAGAAAAAGTGAATTTAGACATGTGCTGAGACTTATGCTGAGATTTAAACAGAAGCTGAAACTGCAAATTTTTTTGTGCTTTCTACACATGAAACAGGTTTGAGTACAAGAAAACATAACTTAAATCTCTTCTCTGAAGAGGAGGCTGGAATTCGGGCACAAAATTCACAAGCGAGAAGGTTGGCCTCCATTTCCTCCATTAATAAATCAATACTAGAATCACAGAAGAGCAAACAAACTTTAGGTCGAGTTATCTATTAGACTGAGCTGTTTGGCAACTTCTTTTCAGCATCCCTCAAAGGGATTAGAAGAAGTGCGAAATGGACTTGAAAAATAATGTGACAGAGAGAGTGAGTACTCACAATATCCCCTAATCCCAGCATGGAGAAGTGGCCACTGCTATGCACACTGCAGCCAGGAGAGAGGGACGAAGGTGAGAGGAGGTGGCACGTGGGGAAGGAAAAATAAAACGGAAGGCAAAGATAAACTGTATAATGTAGGCTGGCACAATGTACAGTACTCATGGAACGAAACGTCGATTTGATTGATAAGTGGGGTTTAACGTCTCAAGACCACCATATGATTATGAGAGACGCATGGAACGAAACGTGACATCATTTTTCTGAAATGGGATAACTCCATGCCAAATCAAGCAGCATTTTTTTGACCATCACGAATATGGCTGAAAAAGTTTCCACATGTTTCTCAAAGTTTGAAATTCGTCCTGCTTGTTTATTTCCAAGGCCAAAATTCTCTGCCTATTTATGAGACTCTGTAGTTTTGCACTGGCCGAGCTAGAGGGAATTAAACATGCCGTTTCATGCTGCTTCGTCTTCGTTCGCATAGTTCCCTACACGACAATTTTATTCAGAAGGCGTTTCTGGCAGCACTCGATAAAATAGTGCTTGCAGCAAGGCAATGAAGAGATGCAACTGTAGAAATAATGACATGCACGTATATCGAATCTTCGAGGGTTTTTCTGCACGAGCAAAATCGAATAAAGTTGCCGAATTCGTTTCTTTTCTGTGAACATGGCAAACTCAAAAGGCACAAATAAAAAATGTGCTGGTGATCCGTTTGAGATGCTACAAAATGAAAATGATTTGGGGGCTGAAGCTATAGCAGATTGTCCATAGAAAAAAGAGGTGAAATTTCCTTTCTTTAAAAAAAGCCCTGTATTCAGTGTCCAAAAAATCGCCTTGGTAGTCCGACTAAAGATATCCCCAATATATGATCTGAAAGCTGGACGTATTAGCTATATAGGTGCAGTTACTATAATTTTTTTAAACATGAGAATATATTTTTTTAAATTATGTATCTCCACTATCATTTGACCTACGTAACTCAAGTGGCATCACACACCTGCAAAAGCAATCTTCAGCCCAAGCCGACTGACCTGGGAGGCAGACAGCAAACTTGGGGCTATGTATATAAAGCAAGCGAAATGAGAATGGAGTTATCTGCGTTCCATTGCCAATACAGGTGCGCCACAAGGAATGTGGCCAGAGTGTGGTAACCAGTAGAATTCCTACAGTTACATTACTTCATTACTTTCCCGCAAGTACCATTCTATCAAGTGCATTCCAGAAATATATAAAAAAAACTGTTTGATGCCCTCCAAATCAGTCAAAGCAAAAATACCGACTCTCATAAATAAGCAGGAATATTTTCGGCCACCAAAATAAATGAGCAGGATAAGTTGTGGACTTCAAGAAACACGTGCAAATCTTATCAGCCATATTCATAGTGGTCGAAAAAATGGTGATTAATTTGGCATGAAATAACCCCGTAGCAGCTACCACAGGCACCTGCTCGCAATAACCGCGTCAGGTTGCTTCGAATTTGGCTGCTAAAGGTAACGTTGGCTTTGAAGCAAGTGCTAGAGTGCAGATTAAGTCAATATAACTCGAAATATAGATGCTGCGAACGAAAGTATGCACACTACCTGGCCTTAAATGAGAGTTGCCAGATGTTACCGAGCTAACAAGCAAATAATCGTCACAGTACAAGAAAGAAAAAGCATGACTTTTGCGAATAAGCCCCCCCCCCCCCCCCCCCCGCCTTAAAAATGAAAGGTGAAGTAGTATAACGAATTTTCTCATTTTTGAAAACAAAAAATGTCACTCAAACATGAAGGAAAAAAAAAACCAGCAGTTATTTTGTATACGTCGCCACTACGAAGAAAAGGCCATATTTATTTATTAACAGCGTGTCCAGGTTAGTCGTCGTTTATTTGAATGCATGTTTCCCAGTGCATAACTAACACTATACTTGTTGATTTCCCCGACGACTTCAAACACATATACTCAAAGGCGTTGACAAATGGACTGCTAGTGAACAAAAGAACACACCATTGGTGAACAGATTATCCCTAAAATAACTATATATGAGAGAAAAATGCAACTAAGTTTTAACAATGTAACAAGCGACAGGAAAAATCTACAAGTGACTTCGTGAGAAAAGGCACCCAAATCTGCTTATTATAAGCAGAACTGGTAACTTGTGGCATTTGAATTTGTGAGTACTGTACATTTCTTGTGAACCACACTTATTTACACCCAAAAAACGTGACAACAACACAGGCTGAGTAGGATTACTCACACGGCTTGAGGAGAAAAAGAACTGGAGCAGAACTGATACGTCACCATAACCACATCCGTTATTGATATTTGCTAAGCAGCTTTTAAGCTGCACGCTAGAGGCAGCGAAATCTGCAGCCAGGTCCACAGAATTATTTAGGAGACAGAAACTTCTTATTCCTTTCTTGTTGAAACCCCATCACAAATCTCTCAGTGGCCTACGCCCAAGTGCATCCGACTTGAGTTTCCACTGTCCTAGATAATGGGCAAATTGCTTATGGAGCTCGCAGCACTCTGTTATGCAATCCTGCTACAAGTGACATGACCTTACACGCTCCACTTGCGGTTGGCTTCAAGTTATAAAATGCACTCGTGCAACAATCCAAACGTTATTGGCACATTGTCAGTTTGCAATTACATAAACTCTTGCAAATTTTCGTGACAGTAATGTTCGCCCCCGCATAAATAACCCATTTGACAGGTATGCTTACATATTGTCACGTGCGTCCCGCGAAATAGACGCAGGCGACAGCGCATACGCGCATCTGCACGCTTTTATGCAGAACGCAACAACGAGAAAGACGAGGAACTCTCGTGCGCACGCGGTTAATAAAAAGACCAACCCGCTGCTGTTTTCTCAGCGTCTTCAAATATGACCTCTGCCTTCACGTCGCGACACTGGTGGAGGTGCTGGGGCCTGCAACCTGATGCAAGAAAGCGTTGTTCGGGACCATACACCCAGTCCGGAGCCTCAACATCTTGTTACGACTCCAGTACACCGATTCAGCCGGTGCCTAACTAGGCCTAAGTCCAGAACTCTTGTTACCAACGTGGCGGCCCCTTCAACGTCTGCGAATCTTCCCCCGGCCCAGACGACTCATCCTTACCAGGTAACTTTTGAGACTCCTTGTGTTCCCGAAGTCTTCCGTGGAGAACCGTATGAAGATCTCGAGGACTGGCTCGACCAGTTCCAGCGGACCGCTGTGGTGAATCGTTGGAGCGTGCAAGAAAAACTTGGCCGTGCCTACTTCGCAATGGAAAATGGCGCTCGCACATGATACGAGAACAGGGAGCCTATTTTCCAAACCTGGTACAATTTCCGCCAAAAGCTTCTCGAGACGTTCCTGAGTTCGGACCGACGGGATCTCGCACAACAGATGATTGAAGCCCGCATGCAAAAGCCGAACGAAAGCGTCGCCATGTTCGCTGAGGATAAGGCCCGTCTATTTCGCCGCGCTGACCCTGACATGCCCGAGGCAAGGAAAGTTCGTCACCTGATGCGGGGAGTTAAGGAACCGCTTTCCGCCGGCCTTGTACGAAATCCGCCAACAACAGTGGATGAATTCATCAAAGAGGCGACTGTCATTGAGCAGGCGCTCCGGCAACGATGCCGCCACTTTGACCGCCTGCACGAACAAACGCCTGTTGGTGCTGCCACTCAAAACGCTGCCGTTTCCGAAAACTCTTTACGGCAAATGATTAGACAAATCCTGCGGGAAGAGCTGCAAGCCCCCGGCCTTCCATCTACCGAGCCCCCAGTTGTTTCTGTTGCAGACCAAGCTGAACCCAGCTACGGCAAAAGCATGCTCTGAGAACTTGGCAAAGTGTGCTGCCGAAGTGAAACAGCTGTACAGTGACCTGAATTTTGGAAATCCGGGTAACATTGCTGTTTGTTTTGATGGCTCATGGCACACACGTGGACACTCTTCTCACATTGGTGTGGCCACCGTGATTGAGCTATTTACAGGATATGTGCTAGATTACGTGGTTCTCTCCAATTTCTGCCTCGGCTGTGAGTGTGGGCCGCAGCCAGATAGCCCAGATTATGCTGCATGGAAGGCACAGCACTTATGCCAAAAAAACACAAGCTGCAAGGCAGGCCAAATGGAAGTTGAGGCAGCAAAGATTCTGTTTCAACGTTCACTCTCTCTGCATGGCCTCAGGTATACAACCATGCTCTGTGATGGTAATAGCCGCTCATTCATTGCCATTGATGAAGCCAAAGTTTATGGCTTTATTCCTGTGGTAAAAGAAGAGTGCACCAACCACATTCAGAAGCGAATGGGCACAGCGCTTCGCACCCTTGTGCAAAAGCACAAGTCAGGTGATGCGCAGCGCATTAGTGGTAAAGGACGGCTGACCGCAGACCTGATCACCAAGATCTCCAGCTATTATGGATGGGCTATCAAGTCTTTTGCTGGAGACTTAGATAAAATGCACAACGCAGTGTGGGCCACATTCTATCACATTACGTCGACAGATGAGAAGCCCAATCATAACTTCTGTCCGGATGGTCCTGACTCATGGTGTAAATATAACTCGGCCATGGCAAAAAACGAACCACCACCAAAAAGCAGGTACAACTTGCCAGAAGCGATCAGCAGTGCACTGCGGCCCATTTTTGAGCGTCTGGATGACAAGTTGCTGCAGCGGTGCCTGAGAGGACAAACTCAGAATGCTAATGAGGCACTGCATTCAGTCATTTGGAGCCTCGCGCCCAAAGACAAAAATGCCTCACTATATGCAGTCGAGGCAGCAGTTGGAGAGGCTGTGATGAGGTGCAACCTTGGCACCCACAATGCCAGCTCAAGCATATTGCGAGAGCTCCAAGTAGAGCAAACCGCCAAGGGTAGCCGAAGGGCTAATGAAAAGGACTCCCAACGCACTATCAATGCAGAAAGGAAGAGGCGGTCATCAGCAGCCTTTCAGGCAGCTGCAAAGCGGAGGCAAAGAGGAAAGCCCCACCTAGATTATTCTCCAGGAGCCTTCTGAGCCACTGGCTGTTGTAATTTCGCCCATCCAGGAGAATAAAAGGCTTTTTTCACATGTCTATTAGTTTTTCCCACTTTTCTCAAAACACTTTTATTGGCCGTCTCCAATTTTCTGGGTGGCTGTTGTTACCCTTCTAATCATCCAATTTTAATGGGGTTTTTTTTTTCTTATAGCTAGACTTCCAAAGAGTGCAATATGCCTATAATACAATGTTTCTTTAGCCTGAAACATTTTGAAATTTTGGGCAAACAACAGACAAAGAATTCATGTCTCAATAAAAATTTTTGAACTTTTATAACTTGGGATAAAATAAATGTAGAAACACGAAATTATGCTTCTTGCACTCATTGAGCATTCAGGAATATATAAATATAATTTTTAGCTTGGTTATTGTAAAATTTTTTTTGCCAGTCATCCCAGAAGTGTAAAACAGAAAAAGTTGTATAAAATTTTTTCTTCGTGAGATACAGAAAAACTGGTTGCATATTTGAAATCAGCACATTAAATTACATATTACCTGCAAGTTTCATTACTCTAGTAGCAGTAGCAATAAATGTTTTGCCCAAGGCCCATGTCCCCCCTTAAGAAGGTCAAGACGCCGTGGAGTGGGCCGAGCATAAGGAGTGCTGGTGGGCAGCTATTGACGCCAACCGGTAAATGCACCGCTCGGCTCGTAATCGATGATTCGGACTTCGTCGCCACTTTTGTCATTTTACCGGACTGTTGTAAAGAGTTGATTTTGGGTATGGATTGTCTGCGAGAGTACGGTGCTGTCATCAACATTCCAGAACGTATAGTCACCTTTTCCGCCCATCCTTACGTCGACGCCACCACTGAAGAACAACTGCAACGTTTACGTGTAGCCGATGATGTTGTGATGCTGCTGCTGAGATCTTGCTGCCTTGTGTCGGTTTTATGTGAACGGCCGTGCCGTAATGAGGTGATAGCGGAGCGAATAGACACGCTATTGCTTACGCAAGGTGCTTCAATAGTGAGAGGCGTTCTGGCACTAATCAATGGGCGGGCAGAAGTGCTCATCACCAACTTCAGCAACGAACGTCGTCACATCCAGAAGGGCACCGCGATTGCCTACTACGACGACGTGGACCAAGCCAGAGATTGCTTCGCTTTGCAACCGGACGAGGCGACCATCTCAGCCTCGACACCTTTGTCTGTCAACATTTGCTCAACCCTGTCAGCCTCGGATAAACAGCGCCTACTAGAGCTGATACACCAGTTCAAAATTGTTTTTCGTGCACATTGAAAGTCAAGCAAACACCACTGACCCGGCACCGAATCATCGTTGAAGAATATACGAGACCGATCCATCAAAACCCATACCGTGTGGCTCCGAAAGAACGTGAGGAGATCCAAAAGCAAGTTCAGAAGATGCTCTAAGACGACGTAATACAGCCTTCCAAGAGTCCCTGGGCATCCCCCGTGGTATTGGTTAAAAAGAAAGATGGCAGCTTGCGTTTCTGTATAGATTACCGCAAGTTAAACCAAGTAACAAAGAAAGACGTCTACCCACTGCCACGCATAGATGACTCTCTTGATCGGCTGCGGCATGCACGCTATTTCTCATCGATAGACCTGCGAAGTGGCAATTGGCAAATAGAGGTCGACGAGAGAAACCGTGAGAAAACTGCTTTCGTGACGCCCGACGGTCTTTATGAATTTAAAGTGCTTCCATTCGGGTTATGCTTAGCGCCAGCCACTTTTCAGCGTTTAATGGACACTGTGCTATCAGGACTGAAGTGGCAGACATGCTTGGTCTATCTAGACGACGTTGTCGTCTTCTCAGCTACATTCGAGGAACACCTAAGTCGATTATTCGCAGTTCTACAAGCTATACGTTCGGCTGGCCTGACTTTAAAACCAGAGAAGTGCCATTTCGGTTTCAGCGAACTCTGCTTCTTAGGCCACGCGAAATAGACGAAGGCGACAATATCTGTGTATACTCTGAGGGCACGAAGGTAGTACAAAAAGGAACAAAAAGAAAAGCAAGATTTGCAGTTTGAGAAAAAAAGATGTGACAGGTCCTTGCTTTTTTTTTCAAGCTAAAATATATTGCAGCTTCTCACTTTCGTATCACAGTGTTTGGCATGAGAAAAGCTTTCTCTAATGTTGCATCCCTTTTGTAATGAACGAAATCATGCAATTGGCCTTTTGAAAGCATGACGAGCACTAGTGATGATAGATCACCTTGGAAAAACCAGCTTTCCAGGAAGCGACAGCTTAGGGGCCTCCCTGACCATGCTGCCCAGGTGGAGTTTTTTTGCAACCAGGCCCACCTAAAGAGAAAAAACAAAACAAAAACTAAATAGAGCAGTTGCATTTAGAATAAAAAGTGCTGTACAACGTGGTGTGTTACTTAGAAGCTGAAGTTGTGTTTCATTTGGACAGGAACATAAATCCCTAAGAAAATGATTAGAGCAATGCTTCACCTTTATAGTAGAATTCAGCACAAAAAAACTGGGATGAATAAGGAACCACACGAACATAGCGAACTTGCACTGCGTTCGTGAAGTTTTCTTTTTTGCGCTAATTTCTACTATGATGCTGAACCAACTTGCCCAACGAGCAACACTTCTGAACTTCACCTTTAAATGTTGAATGTGATGGTGATATCTGCACGCACCCACGCACGCACATGCGCGCGCACACACACACGCACACACACACGCAGGCGCGCTTTTTTAATTGGTAGATTGCCTTCACTTGTCGGTGGAGACCTGAACGGTGCCGCAAGAAGAGCCTAAGTGGAAACAACCTGTGGCTCCCATCATTATTTGCATATACCTTGAATATTCGCTCACGACCAACACTGCTTTTTCACTCGCAACAAAAAAAAAAACATCACTGCCAACACCACACACACTAAAATTTCTGCAAAACGAGCACTTCAACAACATCGCGTTATCGGCAAACTTCAGACAATGTTGCCTTAAAAAGTGATGGCAACCATTCCTTTATAAGAGCTTTTACTATCCTTTGTGCCTGGACATAGGAAGAGCGAGCGATGTGTAACTAAATGAAGATAAAGTCGGCTTTTAAAATTTATTTTGGGGAAACATTGTTCTTCTACCGGGGTGAAATTTGTGGCAATCCTAATTTTTTTATTTGGGCCTCCCTTATATAGACGGTGAGAGCAATATTCTTTATATTTGCGAGCCAATGATATCACACACACATGCACAAAGAGAGAGAGGGTAAAAGTGGGAAGAGGAAGGCAAGAGAAAGGTGTCGACTACTGAAGAGAAGCAAAATTGAAGAAGACTGCATAACTTGAAGAAAACATGAGAAAAAAGGAAAAGGGGGACACTCACCGGATTGTCTGCTGGCCGTGTGGCCACTTTGACCATGACATTGGCATTGAAGATATATGAGGAGAAAAACACCTGCACGAAAAAAACAAGGCAGAACATGTTTTACTGCTTGAGAGAGCATGTGATTTTGAAACAACACAAGGCAGGTTACAATCGGTACAAACTCTTATCGAAACCAGCCATGCCCAGGCTAAATTTTTTTTTTTATGGCCTCATCTGGTGAGAAACCACGCTGCAACCAGCAATTCTCGCGGCAGCTCATCAATGTGACTGATAAATTACTATAATTTAGGACACCCTAGTTGCAAGCAGAGTCCGAGACTGCCAGACTACACTTCCTAGAATGTCTGCAGTATTTTGTTATGTTTCCAGGCAATGTCTTGGAATGACAGTAAGCTGTATGACACGGAAAAGATCCATGGTATGCCAGACAGGACTGCATGAGAAAAAAGAAGTCTGCAGTACTGGGATCTTATACCCGTGCCACAAGGACGTTTGGAAGGTCTTCTAAATAATAGTCTGTAGACTAAATGGTACTGTGCAAGCTGTTATGTGGGACATTTTGAAGAGTCAATGGAGCACCCTCAACTCCATCAAAACGTCAACAGCCACTGAGCAACGGAAGCAGAAACAATACGAATGTGCCCCCTTGTTCACTGGGTACTCATACTCATGATGAAAAAAACAATATCTAACGAGTACTCTTAAATAGCAGCACATTTGAGCATTATGAATTATTGAATTTAATCATTTTTGCAACTTGAATTGTGCAAGCTGCGCATACTATTGAAAACAGTGACGTGCTTGTCTTACACTATATCATTGTCGTTGCGTCTCACTGCTCGACAACTTTATGGGGCCTTGCAACACTTTTTGAGCATGGTCAGAAAACACTGCCGATGGGTAGTTGAAGACCTTGAGAACACGAGCGTCAAATATTATAGTGCAGCACGTGGCCTGGAGTTCACAATAAATTCTCAAAGTCAGCTAAATGTTGCTTTCTATTCTCTCGACAAATGATGCTACAAGCTCAAAGATCACTAGTCACAGCCATTCATTGATTTGAGAATGGCACTTGTTCGCTACCAGGCCTGCACGCGCGATCGCCCTGAAAAGCCGCGCATTTACACTTTAAAAAAAAGAAAAAGTTAAGGTCCCGGGGCGCTCATGGCGTATTTTCTTTTTCTGTGTCATTCCTCCCTGCTTAGCTACCCAGCGCTTTCATCAGGAGTAGAGAAGAGAGAATGTGATTGCAGCATGAAACAAATCTTTGTAAGTCTGCTCATACTGGATAGATTCTAAAATGTTTGCAGCAGTAAATTCGTGAGAAAATAAGCTTCTTCAGTGAATCCATTCCATGGCTATTTTAAAAAGTGTTGCAGGGCCCCTTTAAAACAATCATCATCATCATCATCAGCCTGACTACGTCCACTGCAAGACAAAGGCCTCTCCCATGTTCCGCCAGTTAACCCGGTCCTGTGCTTGCTGCTGCCAATTTATACCCGCAAACTTCTTAATCTCATTTGCCCATCTAACCTTCTGTCTCCCCCTAACCCGTTTCCCTTCTCTGGGAATCCAGTTAGTTACCCTTAATGACCAGCGGTTATCCTGTCTAAAACAATATATATTTATAGTTACCATAAAAAATTCTGTGCAGTACCTAAACAAAAATAAAGGCATATTTGTGCTCTTAAGTGGGCTTACAATATTGAAGAGGACCCAGCAATAATTTTCTGAGTGGCTGGGTCCTTTTTAATAGTTTAATAAAAAAGCTTATTGCCTCACAAATAGACAGCGGTAAAACCTTTCAGAATCGGTCAAGTACAACTTGCTGCATGCTTTAAGCACTTTCTCTTTCCCTTCGTACCAGAGAGCATGCTAAAAGCTACGCAGGTGAGGGGGTAGATGACAGGAAGCAAGATTATTCCCCCCTTCATAAGCGCACGTCATGGCCTTGATCATTTTCACTTTTTCTTTGAATGAGCAGCTTATTTTCAATGCGATCATGCATGCCGACACATGACGGCATTCTGTGGCAGCCACGCTAACTAGGCAACTCATACTGCTCAAATCAGCCAAAGGTCATAAACATTGGGTATATGGCACAGTAATTAGGGCAATGGCAATGACTGTAGGTGTAAACTTTCAAAAATCAGGACATGATTGTAAGAAATGCTGTAGCGGAGGACTTGGAAATTTTGACCACCTGGGGTTCAACTTAATTTATGTACACCGGCCTTGGGCATTTTCACCTTTATTGGAATTGCGGCCGCCATAGCCTGTAGTCAATCCCGCAACTTGCGGGTCAGCAGGCAGGTGTAGTTTGGGTATGCGACATCATTAGTAGAAAGAAGTGGGAGCAACCTGTAGCTGACTTTGAGAATTAACTCTCAAATTCCAGGCCGTGTATTGCGCTACCACGTTTGGCTTGCGCGTTCCTCTGAGTCTTGACTATTGATTGGCCGCAAAATGTTGAAACTTGTCAAGCTCATCTAAGGGAAGTGAAGTGTTAACGCAGTTCTTTGAATACAGCAGAGCTCCAACGTGAACATAATGGAGTCAGCGCGCACCACAATGTAAGGGGACGAAGCGGTGCAATATTCTGCAATGTGTGCATACTCACCCAGAAGACATCGTATATGAGAAGCCCTGTGAGGAGCAGGGTGGACACCTTGAGGCTGGGAAGTCGCACAAATGCTATGAAGGCCACGCACAGACCCATTCCCATCGCTGCATCACGAAAGTAGAAAGAGAAGGGAAAGAGTGACGAAGAAACAAAAGAGGGCAGTCAGTTCCATGCAGTGGAGGGCAAGGTGTACTAAAAAAACACCACCAAACCAGCGCCACTCGGAAGACTGGGCCCATTTGGCATGTCATTCACGAGTGGTACAGGAAACACACCAAACCTATCTTATGGTTAATGTTATGAACATAAAGCAGTTAACAGCTTATTAGTATAAAGTAAAGTAATATTAAGCAACTAATAAAAATAATTTAAAAATTTGTACCGCAGAATCACATCAATGGACCAGTTATCACTTGAGGCAGAACCGTTTTGAATGCCACATATGGGAAGAAATTGCGCTGTATACTACAAAAAATTGCGTTTTAGTTAGCACATCTTCTGAATGTTAGCAAAAAGACTGAAAGCCTCACGAGAGTGCTTATTCTAATGAACCAAAGAGGGTGTTTGAAACAGTTGCTCTTAACGGAAAACAGCATAACAGAAAATCACGGACAGTTTATATTGAAAGCAAGTGCTGTCAGATAAGGTTAGTGAATGTGTATTATGAAAATAAGCAGCGCAAAATCACAAGGACAAAGGGAAAAAACTTTAAAGACACAGGATGACACAGGGCACAGGCTTTGTCTACATGTTTTTGGACTATTTTATACTTATTTATTTTTTCACAATCCGAGAAAACCAACCTGTCCAGCCATACACCTTTTATCGAATCTGCATCTTCATATATCTTCCAAATATCATTTGTATGATGTTCATTCTGTTTATGAAGTAGCGTTCCAGCCAAGTTTCAGATACTATGACTTTGTATGACGATGGGTCATTTCAACATCACCCAGCCTTTCGCCATCCTCCCAAAGTTGTTCCTCACTCTTATAGTCTTAACAAACTTCCCTCTCGAATCCAGTAGGGCATCTTACTGAAACACGTCGTGAAATCTAGACGGTGCATGTTGAAGCATCCTGTGTCACTTTATCTCTGCTTACGTCACCTCCGGTTCAAATGTTTGAACATATTTAGGCCTTCCTACAGCTTTTGCTTGTATTTATGTATAGGAAACATTTGTGAAAATGCCCTCTCCCACCCTTGCCACTTTTACAGAGTCTTTCTTTTTTACCTCAAAGTTTAAACCCGGTCCCTCTGTCCCCATTTGCTTTAGGTGGTCATCATTCTCATTCAAGTGTCTTTAAAATGAAGAAACTAAGGGCAGTTACAGATCACTGCTGTACCCTTCATCAACTGCTGCATAGCACCTGCTTTATTGCTCTACTTTCAAAATGCACTACTAGTTAAACAGGTAAAATAAAAAAAAGAACATAGTAGGTTTTACAGCTACCGACGCTAAGCAAAAGTCTAAGGCTTCGAAAATATGCTGAAGCAGATCTCCCAGGTACAAATGCACAAACCCACCTTGCAGCTTCAGAGGCAAAATAATTACTACAGTAGACTCACGATAATTCAAACTCTGATAATTCATACTTTTAGTTAATTCAAGCAAAATTCAATTTTTCGGTTGGCCTTCTATACTTTCGATGTGTTTGAAAGCCTCTTAATTCCAACTCCGTCATTTGGTTAATTCATACTTTTTGCAGTTCCATACCAGAAAATATTTGCTGCTTTCCCACTACTATTTAAAAATTTGTGTGCCTATGTAATCCTAGCAGTCTAAAAATGAAAAATAAGCGCCTCAGGCCTTCAAGCAAAAAGGCTTTGCTAGTAAACAAATGTTTGAAATGAAGTGCACACATGATAAACCGTCATGCTTCTCAACTGGTATAAAGAGCTTTGTGCTGAAGGCACATACTTAAATCAAGAAAGCAGTTGGAAATTCACAATTTCTTTAGTCTGATTAGCAGTAAATGGCCAATAAACTTGTGGACCTTACATTTATGCTTTCTGTTCATTGCAGGCAGTTAAGGTTTACAAATACTTAAAAAATTTCAAATGTGATTAAATCAATGCCTCATGTGTGGTGTAACCTCACTCAGAGTTATCTGAGAACTTCTGATAATTCAAACTTCTTTATGATTAAAACGAAATTCGGAGGTCCCTTTGAGTTTGAATTAATTAGAGTCGACTGTAGGTGTTCTGTTGCTACTACAGTTCAGTAAGCTTTCTAATTTTTAAAAAGCCATGCATAAGCTTTGGCGAGTCCGCAATGCATGGAGCTCCTGCTAGTGGTGTCGGCTCATGTAGCGGTTAACTCGCATTATTTCCTTAAAACTTTTTCTGCGCTCCAGTTACGTTGCCTTGATTTGCGAAGCACTGCGGAAAAATAAGAGCAGTTATTGGTCATTATAAACATAACAAGAGTGGTAACAGTAACGTCCAAAAGCGGAATTTTACATAGCAAAAGTATCTTTGGAAGAAATGGAAAAACAGTTTACACAGCCACATAGACCATCACCCAGGCGGTAAGGTAGGATGCGCATTTTCCTGTTCTACTGAGATGCAACATTTTGGTACAGTACTAATACCATTCAAAAATGGCACTAAATTTACAGCCACTTATACCTAGCGGAAACACAACATTTTCATATCCATGAAAAGAAGAATGCTATAGGACAAGAGAGATAGAGCTAGCAAGAGTATCTTTTCTAGGGGTGTGTGAACATTCGAAACTTTCGAATATTCAACAAATATTGCATTTGTAATATTCGTATTCGATTCATAACCACAAATTCGAAAATTTCGAATATTCGAACTAACTCGAATATTTCTTGAATACTCTATGTTCCCGAATGTTCGTTTGCATATGTCACTGTGAAGACCTTACGATCTTGCGCATCTGCGATGAGAGCCTCAGTAGAGCATGCAGTGATTACTACGGCTTCGGCGCGTGTGCGGTGATGCCTGTATGGAAATTCAAAGGAGCGTGATGATGGCTATAGATGAATGTGGCCGACCATCATCGCAACAAACCTACCAATTATAAACAACTCAATCAATCTAAATCATGCACTGCCTGCATGCCAGTACGTTTGGCTTAGCAGTTTAGCGCGCACCGTCTGCTGCCGCACCCTTGTGCATGGAACTGCAAGTGCCTATCACTCGTGGAAACGAAGGCAACTCGCCGCTGCGGCATTAGCTCGACAAAACAGCTTTCATACCTTTGCGAACGGGGCCTGCCCAGCGATCGAAGTGTACCACTCTATGTGGCCCACGAAGTGGCCCAGGCAACTAACGCAATTGTTCTGGCGAAAGGCCAAGGCACATGATTCTGGCCACCGAAGGATAAGTGCGCGAGGGCGCACAAGCCTCTAACCCCTTTTCCCGCCCTTATTTGCGGGGCAAAGTACGCGTGAGAGATAAGCGCGTGTTGGCGCATCGTGACAAGCTGGTGCTGAGCGCGGGTGGCTTTACTTTATTTCTCGAGTTTTCATATGGTATATAGATATGTATATGTTGCATGATGGCGATGGCGCTGGAAACGGCGAAAAACAGCCGAGACTGCCCATATAATTGCTATCGCAATAAAAATATCTCTATGCAAGGGCAAATGCATACAGGGCGCGACACTGACGGAGTGAGCTTAGTAGGCGATGCACTGCATGCAACTAGCTCGGGGTGCACTCAGCTTGACGTACGATGGTAACGCCTTTTATGTATAGCCACGCCATTTTTCGCTAATGAATCGCCGTACAAACGTACGTGCAAATGTCGAAGCCTGACGAGTCGTCCGTCAGCTGTGCCACTACTTCAGCATGTATACTCTCTTCATAGTTCCAGAATGATTTCATGGTAGTGAATATGGACACGCAAATGAGCTGAACTGTTTTTCCGCGCAATGGCAAACATAGAAAAGGCCATGCACTTTTGGTATTGTTACAATGGCATCATCCCCAATAGTTCTCCATTGCTAACGGTGGTGCATGGAAAGTAATGGCCGCATTAAGGCGTAGTTTCATTGCGTTCCCAACAGCGCCTTTGAAAATCCATAATACGCGCATTGCGCTCGCGCGGCAACCTCTCCTGCAATAAACACTCTGTCGCACTGATGTTTGGATCTCGCTCTTTTGCCAACGTCGGTTTACTGCCGTCGGCGGCCAGTGTGCCGAAGGAGATTGCGATGCGACAAAATAGTACCCTCGTCGCCGGGAGTTGTGGCTCCGTTAACAAAAAGGCGTATTTGGGATGTCTTTTTATCACACATCAGTAATCATCTATCTCGAATGCTTACCTGGCATTATGACTGAGCACCTGGTACACCTCGGTCACGATTGCGCTGCTATCAGCGTAACGCAGCATTCTTGATCGAAAAATGGCGAGCGTGCAGTCTTCGAGAAAGGCAACCGAAGCAAGCAAGATAACGAGTATTGCTGCAGGTGTAGTTAGAAAACGCTCCAAGTACTCTTACTTCCCTTAATGGTTTGACCCGTGAGAACAGAGGAGAAAATTAAAGAAAACTTTAAAAGCAGTGTCTTTCGAACCAAGATTGATAGTGTGGGAACCTGGATGAACTGTGACCACCTAGGCTGCTATGATAATTGCTTAGACTTAAGTACACAGGTGTTAACTGTTACACAATCAAACTAGTGGCTGGCCTCATGCTCACTAGTCATCATGGCAGGTACAAAAGGTTTGTTTAACATGCGGATTGAACTCAAGACATCACAGTCACAAGCTCAACTATAACAGTCTTATACTTTTTGAAAAGCACAGATGGTGACATTTTTTTTGTGTGGAATAACTGAATATAATAACAACTGTACTGCTTCCAACATAAATATATGATTGAGTTAAAGATTACTAGTGGAAAAAACTTGTGCCTCTTCATTATTCGATATTCGATTCGTATCCGAAGCTCTCTATTCATATTCAAAAATTTTGATGTTTGCACACCCCTAATATTTTCTATAACATTATTCCTTACTTTTATCTAATCATACCAATTTTATCATTTGATCTGTAAGCATGTCCTCAACATGAACAAACCAAGCTGGTCGATCAACAAGACTGTGTAAGCAACTTGTAGTTCCTGACACTG